AGGGTTTCCTTTCGAGCAGTTCCCAGGGCATGAGAGCCCTATGCCAGTAATATCACATATTACATGTCCTGAAGCTTCCACACGGTCCCCGACACCTAATCAGGCAACTGGTCACTTTGTTCGGAGCTGTTCCTAGCCCAGAGGCTCATAGCTGCAAGGGATGTGGGGTCAGGCTAGTCGTCGGGGCCACGAATATCCGAAGACCTCGTGCAGTATGCTAATCATTTAGAATCAGCATCTCTGAAGGAACATCAATGCAAGTGCATAGTCTCCTTTATCGTGTCCTGAATGCCGTGGGCCCTTATCCAACATCATCCCAGAGCCCCCAAGCCCCAATGAATCAGCAGCAACAAACACACGCGGAAGCGTCTGAGGCAAAAATAGCCTCGTCCGGTCGATGATGAACGCCATTTTTGGATTTTGCGGCTCGCCTCCGACTGCATGCAAAGGTTGCGCGAATCCTTTGCATTCTGGAGGTCAATGTTCAGGCGATAGCGCAAGTTCTGATGCAAGAAGGGCTTCAGGCTAGTAAGAACATGTAAGAACATGGTGCAGTTGGGATCTGGGGGAACAGGCGTCCTCCAAGTTGTGAAAAGACTTGTGACACCCAGAACACCAGACCGTGCGGATCCCGAAACTTCAGACTTTGCATCCCAGACGACCGCCGGGTCTACGCGCGCAACACGCGCGCTGCTCGGCTGGCCGGCGTGGAACGGGAAGAGGGGCGCAGGCCGCCTGCCCACGTTTTTGGCCAGGTATTTTGGGGTCTCACAAGAGACTATAAGGCCGCATCAATATGTCAACTCCACTGTAAACTTGCACTTGCAGACTAGGCCTTGTCTGCCTCACAAGCTGCCTGAAATCCAACCAAGGTTGACACCTTAACGTCGAGCCTTGCAGCCCCGAGTCCCACACCAACTTAGAGCCTCAATTGGGCAGAAAAAATTCGGGCTAACTCCGCATTCCAAACTGCGCATCAGCCGACAAGCCGATCGGCTGATCGGCTGGTCGGGGTTAGGGTCTAGGGTTTAGGGGGGTGTAGGGTTTTGGGGTTTGAAGTTTAGGGTTTAGGGCCTTTAGGGCTTATAGGGTTTAGGGTTGATTGGCTGATCGGCTGACGCGAGGTTTTGGGCCCATAAAGCCACGCACACTGCAGCTTCGGGCTTGCAGCTTGGGACCCTGGGTTCAGGTCTTAATAGGCCCTCTCGTTGCAACCCGAAGCTCCGAAAGTCCCAAGCGAGGTTCATCGCAGCTCACCATTTGCTGCGACTTGCTGGCATTCTGAGGGCTTTTGGGATGCCGCGTCAAAAGTTCGGTGTCGGGGATTTCTCGTAAAAGCCTCTGCCGCCGTCGTCCCAACCTCATCGCAAAATGAAAACGGTGTATCCATAGCGTGTTGTTCATTTAGGCGTGACGACTGCATCGTATGGAGCTGGCTTCTTCAATTTCAGTTTAATTACCGAACACATGCGAAAATCGAGACTGTCATCTAACTCCCATCTGGAGACGACCGCCGGTCTTCAGCACGGTGTCCTTCAGGTTAATTTATTGGCAAGGAACATGGCTCTCCGACGAAACCAAAGCTCACAACTGCAGAGACGTATTCAGCGCGTTCTCTACCTCGAGCTTCTGCCATCTTGAAACCCCCTTCAACCCAAAAGCTTGAGTTTGCTTTTAATTGAGAACAGAGCCCCAACATCTGTTTTGAAGATATGAAAAACAGAGCCCTAAAATTTCAAAGCCCCAAGCAGGCTGCAATGTTTTTCAAACCTCTAGACCCTGAGACGCCTCAGCACTGCAACTTGAGGCTCCACAACTCGAACACCCTGTGCCGTTAAGCCTTCAAATCCTGAGCGCTGTAACCTACCGAGTCTCAAAACTGAAAACCCGAAGTCCCTTGTACTGCAGTACAGGAGAGGAGGCCACAAAACGATCCCCAGAACGCTCAAAGGCGCGTGATTAGGGAGTGCGCCTTTTATCGAAGCTTTTCAGATGCCTTGTAGTAAGCCGTCGCCTTGGCCTTAAACACCAAACCCCACACCGAAATGAACCCTCAGGAAGCCTTCAAGCCCTAATTGATAGACTAAATGCAGATTCCAAAATATTCGTAAAGGGTCGCTCCTAAACCTTATACAACCTTTTCTGAAAAGCCCTGCAAGGCCTTGTTTATCCGTGTGTTATTCTGCTCATTCCAAGTCCCTTCATTATGCATATATGGTCATAGGTATATATTTACATACACACACCTATACCACTTAAATACTAGTATCATGATGTTTCTTACACATACATACATACATACATACATACATACATACATATGTACATGTATTTATGTATATGTATTTATGTATATGTATATGTATATGTATATGTATATGTATATGTATATGTATATGTATATGTATATATATATATCGCACTCTCTCTGTCTCTGTCTCTCTCTGCCCCGTAGTGCTCATTTTTGAAACTTAATCATGGTGAAAAGTCCCGTACCCCGCCCCAGGAGCTCTTCGGCTCGCCTGCCCGGCGGGCGCCGGTCGTCGCTCTACGGACTTCGGGCCGATAGCGAGGCGCTGGGATGTTTGAAACATAGGGCATAGGGGTTAAGGGATGTTTAGGGCTTAGTTAGGGGTTTAGGGCCGAGGGGTTTAGGGTTTAGGGATTTATGGCCTGGGGTTTAGGGGTGCTTAGGGGGAAAAAAAGTTGGTTTGATAAAGCTTAGCGTTACAATGCCTATGAGATTTAAAGTCCCGTTCACAGCGTGCCTCACTCAAGCATCCGCCAGACTGTGTATGATAGGTAAGCGGTAAGCTTTCCCACCACCAGATTATGCCCTCGCATCGCTCATGGGGTTTAGGCTTTCTATACAGTACAGATCTCTTAGGGTCTAGGAGTCTAGGGTTCATGCAGGTCCTGAAGGGCTTATTTTTAGAGGTTCAGTTGGTTGTATTTGGGGATTACAAGGGCTAGAGGCAACTTTCAACATGCTAGTGTGTTAGGTAGTCCTCAATGTTCCTGGATACAGCCGAGTCTCCGTGCAAGAAGACTCGAAAGCAGAGGGCGGAGCAGTTTGTTCTTAAGGGTCGTGCTTTTGGATTGTTTGAGCATTGGGATGTATGCAAGCCCGATTGAGGGTTTGGGAATTGAGCGTCCGTCTCGCTTCGGGTTTAAGGGCGACACTTGGCTGCTGAGCGTGAGCTTCGTTGAATTTCCGGGCCTACGGGGATTTTCGACACAACCATGATTGGACACTTCGGTCTACTTGAACGATAAGCTCGCTGTCCGACCCGATTCCCAAGTGCCACCGAAAGTACCACAGTCTGCAACACCCCAACCCAACATCACTGTCAGGACTTCCTCTTAAATTCTTCCTACGGCATTACAGTTATGATGAACAGTACATTGCAACCCTAGTTTGGTTATTTTCTCGACTAATTCGAGAAGCCGTGCATTTCAGCTCCTGGCCGTGGCGCTCTTCGGCCGCATCCGACGCCACCGCTGCGAGGCGCTCGCCAGGAGTTCTTTAGTGGGGGGGGTGTAAGGCATAGGGTGTTTAGATGTTATTGGAATGGTTTTTGCAAGTGATCATAACGGTGTGAAGCGTTTTATGTTTCTGTCTGCAGTGATCGTTGTTTGTTCTTTGTCCTTCTTTACATATGGGTTTTGGGGAGGAAGTGGGCCTCACCTACATGTTTCAAGGAAGACGCACAGTTATGAAAGCCACCAGAAAGGATTGCGGTTCCACCGAGTCTTCTTGGCAATCGTTGCACTTATTCCGCCTTACTGTGCAAATCCTACCTCGGCACCACCACCATGCGAAGGATGCCCACGTTTCATCATACCAGTCCAGCTCCTTTGGCATGAGGCACTGACCATAAACCCGGTTGAGAACTTATACAGTGACACCCTGATTTGTGCAAGTCAGACTTACGCATCGCTGCATAGTTTGGGCTCTAGGACGGCGCTAAGCCTCAAGCCTGAAACCCTAAACGAGTGCTTGACTTTGCCCATATGCACTGTCTGCTGCGCCTCGCAGCAGGTGCTTCGTTTCTGCACGGGAGCAGGTTGCCTAGATGAACTTTGCGCAAGCCAACTGTTGTTTGGGCGCATGGGATAGATAAGTACGGTAAAATGCAGTTAGACGGCCACCCCTGTTGTAGGAGCTTTACATGGGGGCTGCAAAGGCACATGAACATGACATGAGGGTCTAGAAAATGAAAAGTTTCTGGAATGAACTTTGTTTCGGAATTCGGATTCCTTGTGTCTTGTGTTCGGGGTGTAGAATTCTGGCTCCAACGTCCTGCCTTCAAGATCCGTTCGAGTGTTCAGTCAACTATACCCCAGCCTAGACCACCGACTATATTCTTAACAATGGCTTGCGCATACTTTTTTCACTTCTCATGGAGATTTCTTAGACTTTCAAAGCCCTAGTGAAAAGCTGTGGTTTCAAGGGAGTTATAGACCTTGAACGAGTGGTGTGGATTTCAGTCCCTGGTGGACGGGGCGATTTGAAGAAGTACCAATGGGTTGAGCGAATGGGAAGCTTGGGTCATATTCTTCCCAGGCACCCTGGAATACATATTTCGAACCTGTTCCTCTCCATGCCATGCTGTGGTGATCTTCTCAAGCCACATGGAGGTTGCTCTAAGCTAAGCTTCTTTCTGCTATCACGAAGACAAGCGGCACTTGTTGCAGATCTCTCGGAAGAAACTCCATGCATGACAAGTTCACCCCCCCCCCCCCCCCCCAGAAAAGCGATCCGACTCTCCAGAACCAAAATCTCAAACCCAGATGCTCTTGGCGAAGCCGAATTCAGGTGTCAGTCCCCACTGTCAACTGAACATCCCGTGGCTGTGGTGTTAAAGGGTTGAGGGCCGGCTTGGCTTTCATGTGTCTGGAATTGAAGGCTGATACACATTGCAGGTCGGGTTTAGGGTTTAGTTTTGTCCTAAGCTCCTGAACCCGGAAGGCAATTATAGGCACTGGAGTGAATCGCCATGGAAGTTTCCATCTGCTCCTGCCTTTACCAGAGCCTGGGCAGCTGCTGTGTCTTTCTGTCACAGCTTTTCCTCCGCCTCGACCTTTACGTCCTGGGGCATTCGCTGGAGATCGGCACCTGCAGGACCCGGGAAGAAGCACTTTAATTAGGGGCTTTAGGGGCTTTAGGGACTTTAATCATTTTAACCCAATAATGAAGGCATGAGGCAGGGAGTCTCAAGCCTAAACCTCGGGTTTAGGGTTAAGCCCTTGTTGCACACAAGCTTTCCTGTTTGCGAGGTATCACATTTGTCCGAAAACCCCGAAAATCTGCACTTTGATACTAAACCTTAACCCTAAACCCTAAACCCTCTTAGCCCAAACCATCGTCTTCAAAGCCTGCCAGGAGAAGCAGCAGTTCTGGCACGGGGCTTCCACTCATCGCGGAAGGTGCGGCTTTTGAAAGGGATCAGGGGCTGAGGGATTCGGATCTGCATAGTGGGTCCGGGAGTTGAAGATGTAGCTTGCGTATAGTAGTCTGATTTCCTTACGCATTAGTTTACATTGTGTTTACATGTCTTAAATTCCACCCACCAATCGCTCCGAAAAGCTTCTGTGAGCAAAAGCAGACAGCTGAACCTCGACAGTAACAACAGGCGAACCTCCCATGGACACAACAAAATCCTTGACAGAAGCCCAGAAACCCTTTCCGAAACCAGACAGAAACTATTCTAGACCCAGAAAGCCCCAAAGGCCAGCCCTGGACTCCACAAACAGCGAACTAAAACCTCGTCGACCCTGCCTCAACACCCCAAAGGCCAAAAGCCCCAAACCCCCGAAGCCCCATAAACCCGTAAACCCCTATAACTGGCCTATAGCCGCTTCAAGGCGTGGTTGCAGAATCGCAAGCACTCATCGCCGAGACCGCTGGGCAGCTGGGTCTGGGTGACTTGCCTGAACAACAGGGTTTACACAAGCACGTGACTCGGGTATGGGGGCTTGCGGGGTGGCCCGGGTGGTGTGGCGTAGGGCTGGGTGTAGTGGTGGCAGGTGGTCTTTTGAAAGGGCTACCGGCCTGCCTCGGTTTTTACAGGACTTGTCTAATCCTAGGACGCCATCGGGTTTGAAAGGGATCCGGTTGGTTAGTTGGTAGGTTTCGGGTAGGGGTTGGGCAAGACCTTCAATGGCTCACTATGAAGGGGTCTTGCATTGAAGGTACCCCTACAGTCCTGGCATAACCCACAGCCAGCAAGGTGAGGCACGGCTCCGGGACAACGACAACTGGGTGCTATTCCTTCTGGCGCCTCAGTTTGTTTAGAGACTTTCGGGTTGGGCCGGTTGTGGGAGGTTTCGGCAGGTTTTTCTGGTGCTGTCAGGAGTACAAGGACGAGAGCTCTACGGCTTTGGCAGACAGCTTGTGGCTTGAGGCTACGGCTTAGGGTAGTTCCAACATGATAGTAATGGTTAGGCGTAGGGTTATGACGGTGATGTTCGTCTTGCCATGAGGCTTTGTGGTGATGAATGTTGCTGCATAGTTCTGTATATACTGTTGCCGTCCTGCTAGATTTTCGCTTTCAGGTATACTAGGCTTCGAAGTGCATCGTGTGTTCTTCATTCCGAAGCAACCCTGATCCTAAGCCTCAGATTTCGGCCGAAACCGCGACAGGAGTCAGATTGGATATAGATTGAATTCAGGTGTCGATACCTCTTCGGTACATCATTAACCCGCTGGTGTTTTTGGTGGACCAGTTCGGGCTTTGCGTTCGCTGCTTGGGCGTGCTGCTTGTGGGAGCGTCAGCTGTCTTCTTCGTGTGGTACAGATCCTTGGCCATAGGTTTGAGCTTTCGAACTCTGGTGTGGGCTCTAGGGCTTTAGGGTTCGGGATGCGTGGGGTTTGGGTGGTAGGATCTAGTTCTTAAGGTTCAGGGAGATGTCGATGCATGGGGTTTGGGCGGTAGCATTAAGGTTCAGGGAGATGTCCCGAGTTTGTTTGTTGGGGCTCAGGGCTGTAGTGCCCAGGACAGGCGTTTCTGGCTGAGGGTCTACACAGTCTAAACCTTATAAAGAGGTTTGAATACAACGTTTTGGTGCAGAATATACTAGTAGATTATGGTGGTGGGCCCTAAGGAATAGTATCGGGAATCATTGCTTAACATAGTATGTTGTGATAAGGAGCGCCCAAAGGAATAGTATCGGCAGTATCGGTAGGTTTGTGCTTAGCACCAGACACCGTGACATGGAGCCCTAAACTCGGTAATTATTGGGGGCCCCCCACTTTCCACCCGAGCCGTATACACCGTACATTTGACTATACCCCAGGTCTCCAGCTACCTAAATACTGGGCTATACGGGTATATATATATATATATGTATATACATACATACATACATACATACATACATACATACGTACGTACGTACGTACGTACGTACATACATACATACATACATACATATATAGATGATATGGTTTGTAACCATTGTAACCTACCATTTAAGCAGATGGAGCCCTAGGGGTGGCCTAAAGATCCGAAATTTGAGGATCGTGGGACATCGGATTTCCACGCCTGCCTCACTTGCGTCAGCCGAGGCTCGAACTTAGCACCTGAACCGCACGACTACCAGTCCTTCGAACAGCTGGAGAGGAGTTCCCTTCTCCCTGCACTTCTGCTTGTTTGCACCTTGAGCCTTGGATTCAATGGAGGCGAGAATCGTAGTTGTTTTGCAGTCGTGTGCCTTCTCAGTCTCTGATCTGTTAAGGGGAGCACGTACTCAGCTAAGAATCATCCTTGTCTTCTTCTCGCTGGCCAACCTCCGATACCTCCGTGCTGGGACAATGCCTCCCATGCCTGTGACCTACGCGCTGTTGGTGGGCAAAGTCTTCCTCCTCATGCGCATGGCTATGAGCTCCTTGTATAGACAGACTCAGTGGACTTTCGCCCGCCTCAGCTGTCTCAACTTGATTTTTTCTGTCGTGGGGTTTCTCAGGTTACTCCAGCCGTGACATGACTGTGGCGCTGGACTACTTCGTGAAGCAAGAGCTGATTCTGATCAGTTCCCACGCCCTGGGCTCCTTTTTCTTGGTTCCTTGGACTGCACCGACGACATCAGAAGCCGAACATGGCCCGCAAGAAAGTACCACCATTCGGGAGATTGAGAAGCGCATGGCTGTGATCGCTCTTATTGACTTGGGAAAGACGCTGATCATGCTGCTCTACTGGTGGCAGCTTTTTGCACCCGGCTGCATCGAAGTATATGTATCCCGTGCCCCAGCTATGTGGGCCCAAGTCGTTCTGGCACTTGCCGTGCACCTTTGGCTGGATCTGTTGCAGAGCGCCATAACAGTTTTCACTGTGCATCTCGCTCGCCTGCGACATTCTCTGATGCAGCTCGCCTGCCGTGCCGAGGACCCTGGCACCTGAAAAAGAGTATTCTCTGTCGGCGCCCTCCTCCTCCTCATCATCATCTTCATCATTACTAGTATCACCATCTTCATCACCATCTTCATCACCATCTTCATCACCATCATCATCACCACCATCATCACCACCGTCATCACGATGCTCGACGCCACCAACAACACCAGGAGCGCCAATAACAATATCAACATGGCCTTCGTTAACATCAGGGTTTTCATTTTGACCGGCATCAATGGAATCAAACGAAAGCCCCCACACCTCAACTGAAGCAGCTATTGCAGGTCTACTTCGAGGTAATGGAACGATGCGGGCTGTCATCAGCATCTTCATGATGATGATGTTGATATGATGATGGTCGTCATGATCATGATCATGATGATGAGGAGGAGCTACAGGAGGAGGAGCTAGAAGACTATGTAGGCTGAACCACAGAAAAGCCACGCTCGAACTTGCGTGCCGATCCTGGCCCCCTGGACCCCCGGATCCGGAGACCCTTCAAAACAAAACTGACCGGGGCATTACCTGCAACAAGCTTAAACAAGTTTCTAAATTATAATACTAAAAGAAAGCAGCCTCGCTTGTCAGCATTGCTCTCAACCATGCGAGAGGCAAAACTATATTTTTAGTATAATATACCCCGAGCCCTCCAGGCCCCTATATTAAGCAAGCTTCTAGACCGTATTTAATGCTTGGGCTTGCTCAGAACTAAATGGAAACTGAGAGTCTTTCGACGAGTTTCTAATTCCTAAAGTGTACGGTAGATCCATACAAACAGTCGCAAATAGCCCAGCGTAAACGGTAGACTCGCAAGGCTCCCTAAAGGCCCTATTGTTTTAGGCTTCCAAGTGCTCGGTGGTCTCTCCAAATTGACGACCGCCTTCTTGCGTGCACACCAGGAGGCCCGGGCCGGAGCTCTGTCGTCGGGGTTGTTCATGTGGCTTGTATCGTGTTCTGTCGAGTTTGAATGGGATTCTTACAAGCCGTTTCTATGGGTTCTTACTTCAGTGATGCTGGCACCGAGTGGGTTCGAGGGTACGTCGATGCTTTGTCTTGGATGGCTAGTGTTGAACACGTCCTTTGAAGAGGGTTCTTTCCGTCGAAAGCATCTCAGCACAGATTCAAAGGCACGTCTTCCGTTTCAGAACGACCTAGAAAGGCCTAAAGGGTTTTAACAAGACTGTAAGGTGGGATATGGGGCTTTGCATGGGCATCCGAAGGTTTTTTAACCAGGTCTTGCTCACATTTTTGATACAGTTGCCATAGGGGGTCGAGGACATGACAAGGAATGCCACACAGGAGGCTCTCTCCTGAGAGAAGCCCCGAAAGCAAGGCCAGAAGGAGATCTGGATCACAAGAAGCCCTGCGCACCAACGTGACGGTTGAAACACATAGCAGTCAGAAGGCCAGACTTTACGACAACACCAAGTGCAAAGGAGCAGGCTACGTATTGCAAAGGGTGAAGTATACGCCTTGTTTCAGTGAGAACTCGGGGAGTCCCAGGCCTAAATCCTTAGGCCACATCGCAGGTGGAAACCTTGGTCACGGACGTTCCCCGTGACATGTCCGTCGCAGGTGGCTACTTGAGTTGTGGCTGGCGCCTCGAGGACAGCGAGCCCGATTGAGGGCTTATATGTTCAGGGTAATTAGCCTCAGAGGTACCGTGCCGTTCCCTGCCTGACCACATACCCTAATCCCCAAATTCCCAAACTCTGCCTTTAACCCGAACCCTTGAGCCGGGCCTCTTCCCTTCCAGCCTCTTAGGCCGCTGTACGGACATCTGCGCTTCTTGCCCTTTGGCTCAAATGCCTCTCTGAAGGTCAGGGGAACCCCGGCAAAGAGTTTAGGAGCCCTGAAGCCCAAATTCCAAAGAAAGCTTTTCGATTGCAGGATTGCTTAGATGGGTTTCTGTTACATATATATATATATAAACACATACATGTATAT